CTTAGTTTTTCCTGTTTGGATAAAAATCTGGAAAAATCCTTCAGAATTCTGTTTTCCCAGAGCATGTTTCCGGAATGAGCATACAGCTACTTCAAAGTATCATAGCTCCATGCTGAAAGCACAAAAAAGTCACCCCTCCCATGGAACTCATTCCGTCCTCTACACCCTGTCATTTTCATCATGCCCCCCCCTAAGCTACTAAAGGTATTCTGTCAAAACTGTCACAGCTCAAGAGATAAGAAAAAACAGCTTCCTGAATTTCACAGTGCCAAACACAACAAAAAACCACGAAACTACTTTCTCATCTTAGCTTCAGTGAAGATTGCTTCCAAAATTATATTTATGTTGGTGATGGGACCCACAACTTCAGTTCTTCCTTGTACAAAATGTCAAGGGATAAGACTAGTGTTAGCCAGTGGTTTGTGTTAACTAATACCCCAGACGGCCCTTCTAGTGGCATGCCGCAGAATCCTGATGACCAAGTGATGTATTACCCTTCAGTTGACCAAGTGATGTATTACCCTTCAGTTGAAGAAATTGATTGTTTGTTAATAGAGTCTGCAGTGGAATCCATCGATTCTGATCTTGACAATGGTGTTTTCCATGAACCATTTCAGTTGGAGGAAGCTCCGACTCTCTTCTCGTTGATCTACTAATCAGTCAAAACACCCTTTGATCAATGGTTGTTACCACCCCAGACGAAGGTAAAAATAAAGTTAATGAAGATCATCAGAGACCACAACATACCATTAGTTGCTGAAAGGGAGCTATACCAATGGGCTATTGAATTGGAGAGGTTGTCTGGTTTCACGTGATGGTTTTTCACCACAGCTTATCAAATGGCRTTCTAGCAACCAAGATGGTGACAAAGCAATCTATGTAAGGTCCTTTAGACATGCATTGCAATCCCTATTAACCAATGCTTCATTAATCAAAGAAGAAGAAAATGCATTGTATACGTGTATGAATATAGGATTGAAAATGTATGAATGACACGGCCAGAAACTACCCACTGACTCTATACCATACCTTGAGTTGTACTACCATAAGCTTATTTCAAACTTTGGAATGCTAGCTACATGCAAGACCACATGTAGATTGTTGCTGTTGCCAAAGGAGTCACCATCAGCATTTTCAAATTTCCTGGAGGGATGTATTTKTCACATAAGGCACTTTCACTTCTCGGATATTCTTGTGAAATATACAAAAAATATCTTCAAATTGTATTACTTTGCCATGAGCATCAGGGACCACACTTTTTTGTCATTTATCCATAACAAACAGAGAAGAATATGATCAGATAGAAACTCAGCCATTTGTACTCTTTTTCTTACCCTTGTAATCCTTTCTGGTTACT